TTAGTTTGCTTGTTCGGCAGCTTTACACTTCGCGGTGACGTGCGTCGACGCGCTGTAGCGAGCGTGGACACACGACGACGTGCACGCTGTAACGCGCTACAATTGCGCCAGCGCTCCAATCCTATAGACCGCTAGCCGAGACAGGAGGGATCGGCGCAATCTAGCATTGCTCGGCGCTGGCTACCACTGCGATGTCGGTCGAATCTCGTCTGCGGCTGCGTTCGCTCTTATGGGATCGGAGCGCTGTTGCAATCGTAGCGCCCTACACCGCGTTGATGAGCGTCATAGCGAAGTCTGCCTTATGAACAAGGGCAACTTCCTCATTCAGGCAGAGGAGAAGGATCAGGTGCTTAGGTGAGCCTCACAGAAACGGAGGAACCATTTTGCCATGAGGCATCCTTCACACCCATCCACAATGGTGCTCTTTCTCCGAGGCCTAGACGATTCCCCATTCTTTGTTTCACAGTCATATTTGAACCTTTCGAGATTAATGCTGATTCTCAAGAGAAGATATCCTTCATCAACGCTTTTTCATCTCCATACTTCTCATTCGCTAGGAAAAGATATCCCAAGAAACTACTCTCCTGGAATAATGCCCTTCATCACAGGGCACACTAGGGACAGTGAATTTCACTCACCGTGCAAGTGGTAGGCTTTTGAAAAGCCTTCTTCTTATGGCAATTATAGTTTTCATTCTTCCACATAGGCACCTACCTAAGACGGCATTCTTGATGTCCTCCCGCTGACTCTTCGGAACAGCTACGCTTTCCAGGACTCGGTAAAGTTCCTTCGCTGTATTCTGTATGCCAGCTGTTCCGTTGGCACGTCGAAGAAAAATGTAGTCACGTAGATGTTCTTTGAAGTTACAATGCCTGAGCAGAATGGTGTTAAGAGAAGAAGAACATATTGGTCGCGATAAAAAAGGATTACCAAGTAAGCGGGGCGAGATGATAGCCAATTGCGCTTTGATGGTGGCCCTTTGTTTCGTAGATTGTCCATAACTCTTTTCGAAAAGCTTCCACAAAGCAGTTCAAATCCGACTTGCAACCGAAACAATACTCCACAAACTCGTATGGCCCTTTGCTGAAATAAGACCCGTGATTATGAAAGTCCCTCCGCTGGTCAAGCATTGAAAACTCCTCGTCTTTAGCAGGTCACTGACACAGGGTAAAGCATCGCGTTGTGGGAAATTTTTACAGAATGCAACCTCCCCACCCTGGAATTTCCTCCTTTTTTGCGAACCCCCCCCCCCTTCCCTGGTGTCTACCCCATAATCATGCTCCTAAATTTTACCAGTTTCATCTCCCAAATTCTTCCAACTTTCCCCTAAAAGAATTCTGTTACTGCTGTCGAGGGCGAGGAGTCAACAACCGAAAAGCTTCCTCTCTAAAAAATACCTCCCTTCCCCCTTCGCCGACCAAATACGACCCCATTGTTGGGCATCCCCGAGGGACGACATGCCCAATTCCTTAGAGTCACCGAACTGCTCAGAACTATCTTTTCATATTTAAAGCCATATCAAACTTACAGTATGCATTTGTTAACGAAACCGCTTAGAAAACGATCAATCGGGTCACGAATGAAAGCGATGCGCGTTGATCCGAGCAAATCTTCAGCATCAGGACGGTTTCTGATAACATTACGTTCTCCACAGAGGCTGGAATAAGTCTTGCGTTAGTTATGACTCAACATTCTTCTTCTAAAAACCGACCGAGCACTTCCCGTTGCCTAACAAGAGTCATTCCTACTGCCGTTCTCTACTCGGTACAATTAGCGGCGAAAATTCAAACAATTTCTGTTGCTATGCGGCTCGGGAGGGGTACATTATATACATTTTCTAGTTCCTTTCGCTAGTTAATGTTAACTAACTGTCTCATTTTGGCGATATATAAAAATTTGTGGAGCTAAAATGGTATAAGCGATTATATTCTTACAACATTTTACCGGTCCTTACAAAGTGACCTGTACAGGCTTCGCTGTGTTCCATTTGGTGTCCCCAAAAGCAAAACAGAGCCTAGAGTCCTTCTTTCCACAGTCTTCTGATTTTGCGATCACCTCTTCAGCCATGTGCACTCCAATTTTTGGATACATGCCTTCTTACAGCTATGTTAAAGGAACGGTCCGCGATGACCCATGAAAATGCAGAGGACTGTTATAAGAGCGTGGGTGGTCCGCAGTGGACAACCTTGTGCCAGTTTTACGGCCGAAAGTCTAAGGTGTAGGAGTTATGCTGCAAAATGCTCCAGTGGTACCTCCCTTTTTCCAGTGACTCCGCCTCCAGACTCCGCCTCCAAAGCCAGCCTTCCAGCCAAAAGCGATGCTACCGTACAAGCAGCATGAAATTGCCTCTTGTGGTGTCATAGGGTTCATTACAAGTTGTCAGCAAACTGGAGTTGCCCAAATAGCCGGTTCTTTTAGGCATTTTACCCGTGCGATTGTTTGAGGCTGAAGGGGTCATATTGAAGGTGGTCCCGATTTCCCTTTGGCATTTTCTCCTCATGGAGGAGTCACCCAGCAATTTCCCTTCCACATTTCACCGCCAACACCTACACTCTTTATCGCGGACCGTGCCTTTAATTCCAAAATCGCCCATTTCATTACGAAGTCGTTTACTCTACCTTTTAAAGAATTATTTAAATTATGAATGACTATCGGAAAAATAAAAAGGGAAACAAAGCTTGGAATCAAAGTTCCCTTTGGAAGAAAGAGGAAAGTGAAGAAACTCAACAAACGGTTGATTGCTCGAAAAATACAAAATACTGAGGTGACCTATGGTAACAAAGTTTTTGTGGCACAGAACCCGTAATTCAAGCTGAACGGAGTAAGGCGGTCGTAGGAAATGAACAAGAACTAAGTCATCCGATTTAAGGACCTAGGGCGCAAATCACAGATCAACAATGCTCGAGGTATACTCTAATTCGCTGCGCACGGTTGGATGTGTCACTCCGTCAAAGCCGTTCAGTCTTCTTGTTGAAGCGCGCATGCGACAAAAAGTGGTAGAAAACGAGTAATACGAACGATATGATACAGTCATATCATTGCTCGCTTTAACAACTGGTGGAGAACGGGTTTGGCACCGCGCCAAACTCATCCCGCCTGACACGCCCAACCGTCCGCAGCGAACTACACTATAATCTTCTACTGCGGCACACGATTCTCTTATTCTCTATGGAGAACTTCATGTGGAGTTTTTTCCTCTGTGCACTATGGAAAAGACTTCACCACTTTTTGTAAGGTTGCGTCCATACCTTGCGACTTGGCGGGTCAGGAGAATCAGCGTTTTGATCAAGTTGGCGTTTTGGGCAGCGATCCATAACTACACTATCCTCTTCACTCAAAAAGTCATTGGCTAAGTATGATAATTCTTGTAAAACGCCTATTCGCCAAGTATGAACGCAGCCTGAACTAAAGACCTAAGACACGAATATGAGCCGGATTCACGACAAAAGTAGTCAAAGCCGAGACACAGACTCTAAAAAACTAAAGTCACTGGGAAGTTTCAAGGGTCCCCGAGCCT